GTAGGCAAATCATCGTTTTGGGCCCCACCACCTTGCCTCTGACCCCTCCGAGCGGGTCGATTGTGGGGGCCCCTTCCTTGATTATTGGGAACCAAGTGTTGGGTCCACCGGGTGGTTAGCCCTGTAGACCCACGGCCGGCACCGGAGGAAGAATAGAGTTCTCCTTCCCGGGTGCGCCTGGGCTGCCGGTCCGGTTTTGCACCAGTTGCTCGGGTAAGTGGTGTCGCAACTCACCAAAGGCCAAGGGTGTTAGTGGCCATCCCTGCTTATTATTATTATTATTATTATAAGTCCTTCATTGAAGATGATTAAAAGAGCAAAAATATGGCTAAAAATCCAATGAAAAAGTCGATAAAGACCGAGAACACAATATTGGGGTGATATAGAAAAGGGTTCGAAACCACTAAAAATGAAACAATGAAAACAGAAATGCAGAAATAAGGAAAAATATACTATGAACGGTAGTCGGTTGGGTTGGCGTGAGTAGTTTGTTCCTCGCATTCGATCGACCGCTATATGGACCGGTGGTTCGAGCCAAGAGACTAGATGAACGATGTTCGCTGCCTATCATCCAACACGTGTTGGAGATCACACGCCAACTGGTTAGATCTCGTTAATCTTTAGCTCGCACAAGGTTCAACGTTCAAGAGATGTCGTTCGTAAGAGTACGACAGCTGTTTACGGAAAAACTGATTCAACAGATTTTAACAGATCACTAAATCTGCCAGGATGATCAGTGAATTGTGAACAAGATAAAAGAGAATGACGATGATGATGATTAACAGGGAATGCAAAATTTAATACGAAAATAGATACTATTTTTCGGTGATGGTATAAAATCTATCCATCAGCATTTAGTGAAACTATTAAACAATTAAATAATATTTCAAGTGTAATCTAATACATTGGAAGTCTTATTTCGGTTCAGTAATATGAAGTATGATCTAAAATTATCCACAACGATTTGTTATTGAAATATAAAACTAAATCAGTGAGTCAGAATATGTTTGGTATGATTCCAAGTTACGTCACGACGTTTCGATTGTTAATATCCACAATTGTCTTCGGATGATAACTGGACTTATTCCTCCGAGATCTGACTATAGGTCATTCGGGTGCTTTCACCTATCCCCTCTTTCCTCTGTCTGCTTCATTGGTTTCAGCGGGAGATTACCGTTTGGCGGAAGTTGGTCGTTTTTCTCTTGTTAAGAGATTTCCATATGTTACGTATCTCTACACTAGCTTGACTAAATGCGTTGTTGGACAACATATACGCGGCTTCCTTGAATTTTCTTCTAAGCCAGTGTTCCTCTTTGTGGATGATTTCAGCTTGAGCCCATTTGATATTATGTTGATGAGTCCAAACATGCTCTGCTATTCCGGATTTGCTGGTTTCTCCTCGCTGTGTGTGTTTCTTGTGCTCAGCAATGCGAACCTTCAATGGCCTCTTAGTTTCACCGATGTATGATTATCCGCACTCGCAGGGTATCCGATTAATGCAATTTTTGGAATCGCAGTCTGCGTTTGGTGGCCTGGTTTTTGTGAGGCTGCTACTGATAGTGTTCCCAGATCTGAAGCAGGTCCTGATGTTATACTTGGACCCAATCCTTCTTATCCTTTCCGATAATCCTCTGATGTAGGGAAGTACAAGTACTGGTTGTGGCGGCTTCTCTTCCTTGTGGAGCTCTTGCTGCTTCTAGCTAAAGCCTGTTCTACTCTGGAGTAACCATTCCGTTGAAGGTCATTTTTGATGATGCCTATTTCTTTTTCGAGACCTTCCTTTGTATTACAGAGCTCGAAAGCACGGTCTAATAGAGTCTTGATGATTCCTCTCTTAGTCGATTGAGGGTGGTTGGATTTCTGGTTCAGATATTGTCCTGTGTGAGTGGGTTTTCGATATACCGATATTTCCCATTTAGTGTCGGCCCTCTTCACCAATACGTCTAAGAAAGGCAATTCGTTGTGGAATTCCTTTTCCATTGTGAAAGTGATGGAAGGACTTACATTGTTGATGTGCTTCAGGAAAATGTCTAGTTCTGCATTCCCATGGTTCCATATTATGAAGGGGTCGTCTCAACCAGACTCGGGGCTTCTTC